GGGTCACGCAGAAAGTTAATTGCTTGAAACCGAGCTAAATCTGCGAGAGTTAAGAACGTATGAAATAAAAGTGCAGCGCCATCTGTTGAACACATGTTGTAATGTTCAACAGATGGCGCTACAGTTTAAAATGTTTTCTTGTTAACTCTCGATGATTCATCTTTGTCTTAAGAAATTAACTTTCTGCGTTATTATAAGGGTGAGCGAGGGTGGGGTCCCAGGGGTCCCACGCTTCCATGCTCAGTACCTCCTACCCTGCCCTATAAAATGAATTCTTCAGAGGAGCGGTTTGCGCAGCCCAATAAGATACTAAGATGCTATATTTTAACTACACTTCGTGGCTTTCCATGAGGTTTTCGTCTCGAGTGTTCACTTTTTACTCCAGAGATGGCGCTTTCTCTGAAGAAAGTTAATCACTTGTGGAGTAATGTTCAAGTGATTAACTTTCTTCAGAGGAGCGGTTTGCACAGCCCAATAAGATACTAAGATGCTATATTTTAACTACACTTTGTGGCTTTCCATGAGGTTTTAGTCGACAGATAGCGGTACAGTTATATTATACTTAATTGTTAACTCGCTGAATTCGCTTGGTCTCAAGTTATTAACTTTCTGCGTGACCCCAAGAGCGGGTGAGGGTGGAGTTCCACCCTTCCATAGTATTCATATGAAATAAGAAACTAGCGCCATCTTTTGAACATTACTCCATAGATGGCGAAGCATGGGACGCTTCCATAGTATTCACATTCATATGAAATAATAAAAAGCACCATCTGTTGAACATTACTCCGCAGATGGCGAAACGTGGAACCGTACCCACGACGGCTGTTGGGGTCACGCATAATGTTAAATACTTGAGACCAAACTAAATCCGCGAGAGTTAAGCAAGTATGAAATAAAAGTGCAGCGCCATCTGTTGAACAGATGTTGTTGAAATGTTCAACAGATGGCGCTGCAGTTTAAAATAATTTCTTGTTAAATCTCGCTGAAGTAGCCTGGTTTCAAGCGATTAACCTTCTGCGTGATTATAAGGGTGGGTGAGGGTGGGGTCCCACGCTTCCATCCTCAGTACCTTCTGCCCTATCCTATAAAATGAATTCCTCAGAGGAGCGGTTTGCACAAGCCAGTAAACTACATTTCGTGGCTTTCTATGAGGTTTTAGTCAACAGAATGCGCTACAGGTTTAAATACTTTCTTGCTAACTCTCGCTCATAGAATTTGGTCTCAAATGAATAAGTCAAAGTTTTTTTCTTTTTGATCCCATGTGGATTTTAATAAAACCCGCTTAAGTTGAGTGTTTTAATGAGCGGCCGCAAAAAGCAAAAATATTCCCTCACCCCGGTCCCTCCCTTCTCTCTTACCCTATCTCCTAATTTCTTTCAATTTTCTTTTTCACAAAAATCCTACTGGTTTTGAACCAGGGACCTTCTGAACACTAAGCTGATGTCTTACCCCTAGACCACCACCTCCACAGAAATTTATTTTCTGTAATCTTCCTCTTAAGCTACATCTTCGGTTATAATTCCAGAAAATTCAAATAACTTACTTTCTAAATCACAAAACTATACTTGGTCTCGAACCTTCCAACTCTTGTTCACTACGCCGGTGTTTTACCAATAGGCCACCAATGCCACGAAAATTTTTACCTTTAATCTGTCTCTTATGTTACATCTTTTGTTATAATTACAGAAAAATCTTGTCAACTACATTTGTATTTCATAAAACTTTCGTTGGTTCCGAACCTCGGACCTCCTGCACATTAGTTCAGTGCTTTACCAATAACCCACCAATGCCACGGAAATTTTACATCTTTAATCTTCCTCTTATGATACATCTCGCTATATAATTCCAGAAAAAAAAATCATTACAAAAATCCTCGGGGTTACGAACCACCGACCTTTGCATTACTACTTCTGTGCCTTTCGTCTAGACCACCATAACATCTTTGCTGCAACTTTCTGCGATCCTCCTCATATTCTACGACTTGGTTTAGAGCTGCAGAAAAATCATATTTATTTATTCACTTTTCAATTTATATTGACAAAAGACACCGCGGTCTCGAACCCCGTACCTTCCCAATACTACGCCAGTGTAGCATAGTGCCTGAACCAACTACGCTATTCCGTGCCGGTGGTGATGGCATTTGCCACAAATTAAAGCAAACTGATACAGCAAACACAAACATGCCATCTTTTAGTCCCACTCATATTCGTCAGCCTCAAATAGATGTGTATTTAGAGGCAACATTTATACAGAAACCAAAGTAACTCTGCATGCAGGTATGGGTTCCATAAGTGTACAAGTAACAAAGAAGCTACGAGGAACAAACAAAACAGACACATGCAGGACGCGAGATGTGAGGGACGCATATGATGTGGAAGAGGAAAGGAATTACGTACTTACAGAATTTCGGTAGGGGAAATTTGTTGAAAAATTTGAAAATAGTGGCATGGCAACATGAATGTATAATAATTGTAAAGAAGCAGGTGAAGATAGGAGGTAGATGGAACTGGTTCAGAAATATGAGCAGTGACCATGTTTGGTACTGGCAGCGTTGAAATTTCAGGCTCTATATTATCATTCTAGAAAACTAGATGGTTAGATGGTAACATGTGTAGCATACTTACAGACTATTTTCATTCTCGAAGTTATCAATTCCTCTCCTAAGTTCTTGTACATTGAAAGTGGGGATATCATCTATAGATCCCCCAAATTCTGAAATGGCATCAGTAGGCCCTGCAAAGGACACATCTTTATAATAACGAATTATGTCCTATACCGTGCAGAAGGAAATAAGAAATTAAGGGATTTAAACTATAAGCTGCTTCTTACAACAAACAAAATGTTTGTAAAGTAGAGACGTACAGAATAACATGAGATATGTTTTCATAAAAAAGGGTAAAGTTATCCCTGTAACAGGCCGTGGAGGCCTATAGGGTTGTGAGACGTCGAGGTTTCCACATTTTAGCTAGACAGTCGGTTCACAAATAGCGGTGAGGCTGTCAGCCTTACACACCTGCCGCCCTTTACCCCCAGGAATATTCCTGGTACTCATTTCTGTTAAGTGGCTGAGTCGACCCCAGGGCCATAGTGCGGCTGGAAGGATTAGGTCAATTGAAAAATTCACCACGCCGGGGCTATAACCCGCAACCTTCCGGCTTGTAGCACAGTGTCTCAACCAACTACGCTACCGCACAACTTAATTGCTCAGCTGTTTCTTGTTTCCCGTATTCTACGATAATAATCTTCTGTGTCAAACCTCTCTATCTACAACTCTTTAATGAACCGTCACAACACAGCAAATAGTAAAACATCAAAGTCAGCGTTCAGCTGTGGCTTTGCTACATGTTTCAGCCACTAATGGCCATCATCAGGCAAATACATATCAACAAAAATCTACCATTTAACTGCAATCATAAAATGGATATAACACTATTAATGGTATAATTTTAAAAATGCTTATGTAAAAAATACAAAAGTTCAGATTATATAAAAATTAAAAATTGAAAGTATTATATAACAAGATAAATATTAATGATATTTTCAAAACATCAAATCTATCTATGGCTCTATAGCCCTCTATTGCGCTTTGGCCGCTTTTCAGTTTCTTAATCCTATACACAGACGGTAGGACTCCTTGGACGGGGGATCAGCCCGTCGCAAGGCCGCTACCCACACACAGAACAACACAAACACAGAATAAACGCACACAGACATCCATGCCTTGAGTAGGATTCGAAACCACGATCTCAGTGTTCGAGCGGGAGAAGGCAGTTCATGCCTTAGACCGCGCGGTCATTGTGACCGGCGCCAGACTTCTCAGTATGTTAAAGTACATCATGAACACACCTGTCGAAGGAAGCACTGGACTGGAACAGTGAAGAACTTCCTTGCTCGCCATAGTCTGTAAAAAACAAAATTAATGATCATTACCACATTTAGATGAACAGTACCATCTCTAATTTTTTAGAAGATATTTGCTTTAATTTCTTGTACTATAAACTCGGATTTGAAGGTCTGAATTTTGTATTGACTTGTATTGAACCCCCCGGGTGACAGTCTCCCACCGCCCACAATACTCAAATCAATATGGAATTCTTTGTACACCCCAGGGGTGTGCAATGGGAACATGTAATATGAAAGGAAGAAATTAGAAATACGAACATATCTGTAAAGCCTATACGGAAAAGAAAATTTCGGAGACCTGAGCGTAGTCCCTCGATGGTAAAGGCGATAAAGAACGTTACAGTTACAGACTTTAGTCCGTTCAGTTCAGATCGAAATTTATGAACAAAAGTCAACAGCAATTCAGCACATATTGGTATTATTAGGTTGGCTGTACAAGCTTTAAAATGGATCTGAAGCTGAAATAAGACTACGCTGATAATTAATTCACTGACTTCAAACCCATCTTGAAGGGGACTGTACTCACTGCATTACATACGGCCAGTTAAAATGCTTATTTAGAAGAGCTTCTTAAAAACTGCTTTTTGTATTCTTTCAAAAGGGCTTATTTTTGGATATTGACTACGCGGNGCTCCTCCAGAAGGGCTCAGCTCCATGAGTAAGTAAGTAAGTACATGTTTCGGTCGTACAAGACCATCATGAGGCAGTTATACACAGGAATACGTACAGTTACTGAACTACCGATACGGATGCATATCAGTGCAACGTGTCGTATTATATACTTACATAAAACTTTTGCCTCAAGATGATGTCATAATTAAAGTAGCAAATACATAAATAAGATAAAAGATAAAAGGTAACTATAAAGGTATATCATATATCAAGTTTTATAATGTGTTGAATATATTATTAAAATATTTAAAATATTTTAAAATATATTAAAGGATTTTTTCGTATGGTAGGTTAAGAATGTGTATGCTAACTTAAATATTTAAGGTTCCACTGCTACAGTGTAGGAAATTGGGCATCTACCGTATTTACGCATGTATAGGCCGCGTGCGTGTATAGGCCGCAGCACAATTTTCAGACAGAAATTATAGAAAAAGTAATTTTCTTGGAATATTATTTCAGGAGGAGAAATTATTATTATTAATTATGAATATATTTTTTTTTAAATGAAGTGTGATTTCGAATATTTCGAATATAAGCCGCACCCCAGTTTTCCTCTTGAATTTTTGGCAAAAAATGTGCGGCCTATACATGCGTAAATACGGTATATACTAAGAGACAGAATTTGCCTCAAGTTAGTGTTACAACTAAAACAGAAGATACAAGATAAGATAAAAGATAAAATATAAAAATATACACCATATATCAAGATTTATAAAGTGTTGAATATATTATTGAAATATTAAAAATGTTAAGAATACTTTTAAACAGTTTAAAAATATATTAAACTATTTAGTATGGGAGGTTAAGAAATATGCATGCCGACTTAATATTACGGTTCTAGTGCTACACTGTAGAGCTGGTCATGTTATGTCGTTTGTATACCTTCCGCGGTCTTGAAATCGACACTTGTTAGAGGTTAATTCGCTTAGTGGAGGGTGGAGTACAACTGGGTCCACTTGGCACGGCGGCCACTGATTGGCTTATTGTAGCCTGCTCCGGGTGGTTATGATGTTGGAGAATTTGGTGGAATGAAGATTGGTAGAGGAAACCGAAGTATTCGGAGAAAACCCGTCTCAGCGCCACTTTGTCCACCACAAATCCCACTTGAACAGACCCGGGGTTCGAACTTGGGCCGCCGCGGTGGGAAGCCAGCGACTAACCGCTTCAGCTTTGGCGCAGCCTTTGTTAGAGGTTAGTGGTCGGCTTCACACCCCGGTCGCTTTACCTCTGGAGAAAGAGCTGGCTGGGTGAGTCCCAGAACCGCTGTTATCGACGTCGAAAGGAAAAAATCTAAGCCCCACAGAACTTGAGCTCCGACCCCTAGGCCGTCCAACCGGTAACCAGTCGCTTTTCAGACTGCCGTATCTCGGCACCATATAACCAAATTTATAAAGAGGAAAATAATTATATTCATACACGTACAATGACATTCAGTGAGCGTAATTATACTCCCATAACCCAATGTTTCAATATAGCTCATATCGAAGCTCATCACTGAATGCCGTTCTGAACAATTCTAACAACTTTTGACCTTCACAATTTATTGTCTTAAAATCCATCTTAATATTATCCTCTCAGATCTTCCAAGTGGCTACTTTCCTGGTAATTAAGCCCCACAGTTATGTAAGCTTTCCTCCCTGTTGAAGCTACGTGTGTACCTCATTGTAGCATTAATTTCATCGTCTTAACAATAGTTAGTGTTCTGAACAATGTACGAATAATATTCTACTTATCCGCTATTATTCGTTCCCAAGATCCGACCTCTAAACTACTTTTATATAATGTTAATTGTAGCGTAGTGGTTTTAAACCCTTATGATGCATTCCCCTGCAAAATTGTATGGGCCCTCTACTGATTTTGAGAAGTGGAGAATTCCAAGCAGGGTTCACATGCGTCATTGACTTCAAGACAGTAGAAAACCTAAATCTGATCACGATAGAACTACATGTAAAGAACTGATAAAATTAAGGTATCTTATGAAGAGTTTAGCCTTTCACATACGAAATTTTTGGCAAACAGTACTTTTTGTGTACACAGCTCACATTTAGTGTTAATGTGTAGCCATTCTTTCTGTAAGTCTTTTCTTAAAACCTAACGGAAAAAGAACTATGTTAAAAAATAGTGGTATGCCTTCTCTTCGTGACATAAAGAGATGCCCGCTACGTCATACCGCTGCTTACCGCCTTTCCCCCAAAATATATCGGTTTCGATTCTCGGTTTGGACGCCGTCTATCCTATTTCCTCAGTCCATCATAAGAAAAGAAACCCTGATATAATATTTTAAGATAGACCGTAATCTCTCACTTCCATAGACTACCTAATCCATCATTCACAACCGTTAATCCATTCGATGCTCTGTAGTTGAGAAGGCGTCGTTAAAATACGGAGAGAATGTTGAACGTCGTGGTGTATTGATAATATTAAGCACCCATGATATGTATACAGTGGCCGTCTTGTAGTGCACTCAATTTCACCTGATGATGGCACTATGTTGCCGAAACATGTCGTGAAGTAACAGGTGAAATTGAGTGAACTACAAGACGGCCACTGTATACATATCATGGATGAAAATCAGTGCAACAGGACGCTAAAATACAACAATATTAGGCACGCTGCTTTGTATTGTGGAGAAATTCCATTTGAATTCTGGTCTGATCAGATATCGTGTAGGACGTCATGATCAGTTACTCTGAGAAAGGCCACGGCCACTCGTTATAGTCTTCCTAACCCTCATTCCTTCCAATTTCATATATCTCATTTAAAATTATGCAAAACATTGCAGTTAACTCATTGTCATGTAATAAGAAAGAAGCGCTCAATAAACTGAATTACATAACTGTTGTCAGAAGACTCACCGTGGATGCAGACACAGAACACCAAGCATGTATCACTAAGAACTGATTCGACAAACACTTCTGTTGCGTTAGAAAATGTTTAATTTGAATCTGGTTGGTTAATACTATGACCAATCTCATGGAGTTATTTTAGAACTGGCCATTCTTGCAGCGCTGAATGCATGATGACTTCCACATTAGTTAGTAAACAGATGTTCAATTTGTGATTTGATGCCTCAGAATTAATCTTTCATAATGACCGTAATCATGGATCAGTTTCTTTGTACCTCACTGCTTATGAAACTATGGAAAGAGATACACATATAATAATTATTATTACTTACGATTCGTTAAAATCTTAACTATCGTTACATTTCACTGCCAATGTGAGAGAGGCAACAAAGGATTCTTTTGAAGTGTCTATAAGATAAAAATATGAACTGTATATCTTCATGAGGTTAAATCAGAATACAGGAAACAACATAAAACAAGAAATGAGGCGAAGACAGAGGCATAAGTGCCTGGGTGGGGTTTCTGTCCGTATTATAAATTTAACTATAAATATTATTATTATTGTCAAGATATTTATTTACTCTGTCAGACGAAACATAAGATTACTAGATATTACGTAAATGTATAAATAATTAGATGCGCAAGAAACCATAGTAATAAGATAACTTCAGGGTTATCCAAAAGCTGTTATTGATTGCGAATTTACGAAATTTAATTTCCCTGTTCTGATGCTTGCCGCTATCGGTTTTCGATATACCAGTACTAACAAAGTAACACGCATCTGGTGTGTTTCGGGGTTGGTTGGATGAGAGGGTGTCGGTTCATCCGAGGGGGAGGGTGCCACATTCATCCCTCAGCGCGGAGTGCCGAGCGGTGTTTGTCATGACGTAATCACCATCCGTCGTGGAGTGCAGAGCTGTGCTTGCATACTGCACTGTCTGACTCTTTCTTCTATCTATCGAATATATATGAAGCTATTACATTTCCCCTCGGCAGCCTGTATATAAATCTGCAAGCTTTACTGTGATATGTATTACCGACCTCTCAGATCGAGTTTCGCTGTTGTTTTCTCCATGTAAAAATGAGGTACTTGCAATTCACAAGCAATGAGGAAGTAAACAACCAGACAGCATACTTGGACTTAAACCTAATTAACAAACACGGACAAATAGAAATGGAAATATACAGAAAACCCACAACGACAGATACAACAATAAATAATAAATCTTGCCACCCCAAAGAACAAAAATTAGCAACATACAAAAACTGGATACACAGACTTCTCACACCACCCCTCAAAGAAAACGCTAAAAACAAAGAGTTAAATACTATTATTAATATAGCATTAAGCAATGACTGTAAGAAGGAAGACGTCACACAACTATATAACAAACTCAAAAGAAAAATAACCTGGATAATAAAGCCGAAAAGAACAAAAATGGGCCACATTTACCTATACGGGAAATTACATACGAAAAATCGTAAAACTGTTCAAAAACACCAACATAAAAATAGCCTTTAAAACAGCTCACACTGTAAGTAAACTAGTAAATGAAAAACGAGAAACGAACCCCTCCGAACAAAGTGGGATATACAAAATAAGCTGCCATAAAGTATACATCGGCCAAACTGGTAGAAATCTAACAGCAAGGTACAAAGAACACATAAGACTAAACAAAGACGAATCGGTATTTGTCCAACATATACTAAACAAACGCCACCAGTACGGACCGTTGACAGTAATCATGGAAATGGATGAGAATGCAAAAAAAAGGAAGCATCATGAATATAAAAGAAAATTTCCATATATATCGCTTTAATAAGCTCAACAAATTGATACAAGAACAAAAACACAGAAAGGAAAGTGACAATCAGTATATGTTCGACCTCATAATACAACATCAGTACACGCCCACACTAACGTCACAGACACAAGGAGTATAAATACGCGGAACAACACAACCTAGAACAATAAAAACAACACAGTTGGCCACAAACACACACAGGACAACATTAAAGGTAGGATGAAATAACAGAAGTTTTTACAAAACATAATAGGATTGATGAAATAATACAATATACCCATAATATATTTGCACAACCCTCTTCTCGAGAACGACAGGGTGGCACACATTCGGCCCCCGTCAAAGTAAATAAGAGAGACGACACGAACCAGCTTGGTTTACGAATTCCAATAGAATCTTAACAAACTAACTATAAATATTTTAAAGTATTGGAACAGCCGCTGTAGTTGTAAAGACTTTAGCTTTTACAGTCAATTGTATATTGTTTATATTGTATGTATATATTTTGACTTTATAACATGTACTGTAATGGTGGCTTCTAACAGTATATATGCAAAGGTGTCCCTCTGAAGATGGTCTCTGAAGACCGAAACATGTAAGGACATGAATAATTGAAATAAGAAAATCTTAACCATTCACACTGGACAGAACTATTTAACTTTTTCACCAATACTTTTATTTTCATATGGGCACGCGGTAGCGTAGTTGGTTGAGGCACTATGCCACAAGCCGCCATCTATAAGCCGATTGTCTAGAAAATGTGGGAACCTCAGCATCTCACAACCCTATTGGCCTCCAGGGCCTGTTACAGGGATACCTTTACTTTACTTAGGTGCAACTTTACCTTTTTTGTGGCCTAGAAGGAACACGTGAAAATCATATATGCAGTGGCTGGTTACACAACAAAAGTTATAATATAGAAAATGACTGTAATAAGTTACTTTATTTAACATAACAGACGCACACGAACATTTTTTTTATTTGAATATTTCATAATACTTTACAATCTACACTTAATCAAAATATCTGGAAATAATATGAATATAAAATATATAAATGAGACTGTACAATAATTATCCATAAAGTTTTTAAGTCTGGACTTAATTTGAAATTTAGAAACAATTTAAAAATTACCAGTTGTATAAACTCTTGTTGTAGAATAAGGTCCTGCCTTTTTAATACACAAATTCAACTTCATATAATAGTGCAGGAAATTGCAGTCACTTGGCCATGTTTGATTCCAGTTTGTCTAAAATTACTAAGACTTCTGAGAAATTATTTCTTATTTTAAGCAATTATCTGGTTACCAATTAAAATGATTTATTAAACTTCATTTGCATGTTTTAAATCCAATTGTGTAGGTCACTAATATGAAAATTTGTCTGTCGATCACAATAACTTTATACTTTTAATAAATAACTGATAGAATCAAACTGTAAACTAAACTGACTCATCATCAATTTGATTCAATCAATTATTTATTAAAAGTTGTGATTAACAAACATATATACATATTAGTGATTTATTAAAATCTGTCATAGTGATGAGAAAGTCTATAAAAATGGTCAGCAACTTGTCAACAAATTTCACAGTTGAAGACGTAGAAGTATTTATACTTACATATGCTCAGAAATTGAGACATTTATGGTAAAGAAGCAGTGTCTAGCTTCTCACCAACAAACTTTCATCTATAAAACTGCAAGTGGTGATCCAAAGAGAATATATTACTACTTCTCCTTGATCAGTAACACAGACTTTTGTTATTATATATATATATATATATATATATATATACATTAAATATTATCTGTCTTTGAAGGATGCATTCTACACACCCGTTGCAGTCTAATCTCTATCTTACATTAGAACAGAACTAATATGAAATAAGAAATGAATGGCCACACTGTGTAATTAGATTCAGTGCTTAACCACTGTCACAATATTTTGAACATAATTACATTTCTAAATATTTAACAATAGTTTATGGAAAGCTGTAAAACACAAATATAAGCAAAATATTGTCATGTGTATTAGTGACTAGAGATGGGGTTTGGATTGGTGAATGGATTTATTGGCCATTTACAGGTCATAACTACAAATAATTATAACACTATTGCTGACGTCCAAACTACAAATCACTTCAGACTAAGTCTTCTCAGTATATTTGCACTAGTCATTACTGGGTAACAGCTTTCCATAATTGCAATTCCTCTGCAGTGTCTTCAGTAGACATCTCCTGGTACAAATCTTAGCAATGGAGCTTCTCCCGCTTCCATTACCCGCTGGTTAATACTCCACAACTGAACCCTCAACAGCACTATGCTCATTAGCTTAACAGATCATGGTTGGGCAAGTCACATAGCCTCGGAGCAGACCTACAGAAAACACCGCCAGCATCACCTCTTCTACTGTTGTGTGACATCACTGAGCACACATAAATTGCGGGCACTCTATAGCAACAGTTGTATGCATCCATATTGTGACACCTCCACTGTTGCTTGCAGGCATTACCTAGCAATGGCTGATGTTTACAGAGTCACCTCCCAGCAACTGGTCTGAATGTCACACTATATTAAGTCATGCAGTTGTAAAAGCATGGTCAACTACAAAAAATTTTTAACCACTTCACACAGCCATCATCAACACCCTACTTCTCTTACCAATGAAGAAGACAATTAAAAAAAGTTATTGTCTCTCTACATATGTTCCCTGGAATTATTATTCACCATCATTTTTCTGGTAAAGCTCAAAGGGCAGATATATTGAACTCTCTTTAATCTCAGAGGACAGCTCATTACTTCCATTCATTATAGATAAAATGTTCCTGTACTGTCACGAAACATTTACAAAATGTTCCAAAAGCTGCAAGTACGTTTAAAAAAAAATCTATAATAAATTTTACTAACTCATGTGGCCCCCTGGGGTGCAGGTTGTGACTCCAGTTTGAGAAGTTGAGATGAACAGAATACTCCGTTACCAATGTGCAGACTGCGGATCACATATGAGCATTCTTCCATTTCTGTTTTCATTACTTGTTCAATTTACTGAACTGAATATTTATAAAGCCACAAACTATCAGATGCATGAGGTTTCCTATAACTCTCTATCATGCTTTGTTTGGAAGTCCTAGATTGGAATCTCAACCTAGAGTTTCGCTATCCTGAATGACATCTTTCTCAGTTTTCCTCAGTCACCGGGCATTTGTTGGTACAGTACTTAAACCAGGTTATAACAACTTCCTTCCCAATTTGTCATTCACAGTCAGCTTACCTTTTTATGCAGTGTAATCAATGTAGCTGCACTGTTTTAAGTAAATCATGGACTAATCATCACCTCTTCCATACTGTTGCTTTTATATCTTTCTACTGTAGTATGGCACATTTTCTTTGCACCCTCAGGTTCATTCCAGCACCCTTCACTACCCATTCAACATACTTAGGTATTTATAAGCACAGTCTCAGGGATAAGAAAGAGAGTGGAGGAGCAAGTCAAGGGGTGAGACCTTGAGAGACCAAAAGAAATGTCTTCAACTGCAGTACTTCTATAGCATCCTTCGCAACCTCTTTCCGAGTTCTGTCCATAATTTACTTCAGTACACTTTCTCAACTGCATTTCATGTTACCACAAATATTCTGGTGTGAATCCCTCAAAACATGTCCTTGTCCATCACAAACTGCTAAAACACTGTTCTCATGCATATGAATGTTTCACTAGAAATTAAAAATATATGAGGAAGTATAAATTTCAATTTTCAGATATAAGCATATCTATCATGTACTGGGTGTAACCATTCAGCCTATTACAGGTTGCTGTGCACGTGTTTCCAAACAGGATTACTTACTGTGCAGTCCTGCACATAACTTTTAAATTAGTAATCACGTTTTATACATTTACTCATTCATCTGACATATGTAATCACATTTGGGATAATTTCTTTTCCTTTTTACAGACTCTTACAGCCATTTGCACACCAAGTGGTGGTCATTGACTTGTCATGCCACCAGGAATTATCACTAGATCAGTGTTTTTGTTCCTTAAGCTATTTTTTATTCTATCAGAGAGATGACCATGAAATGCATCCAAGCCAGTCTTCTATTAACTCTGATGACATCCATGCAATTTTTGCCCAAAACTATTATAACTTTGTAAACATTTTCTTTTGGCACTATTTTTTTTAATACTATGTGTGGTGGTAATTTATTACCATGTGCAGTTATACACAGCATCACAGTAACATGTGATATTTCAGTCTGTGGTTTGCATTGCCACTTGTTTTTCCCCTTTGAAATTTATGGTATAATTGTGAGACATGTAAAAAAACTACAGTTTTGCCTGCATTGCCAATTTTGAAATTCAATCATTTTAATTTCAAATTCCAAAGGAAGTTTTTACTAAATTTGTCCTTCATTATATTGATAAGCTTTCTTCATAAACTTTCCACACCATTCATGACAAGCCTTGAAAGCTATATCACTGTATCTAGCATATTCTTCTTCTTTTGACATTAATGCTTCTCTAGTTAAGGCAATTCCTTATTTTGCAAATATTTGAAATACTCTAAGACAGAGGTATCAATCTTAGGATTTCTCTCTTTTCTTGTTCAGAAAGACTTTCTATTTGTCAGACATGAAAACAGTTTTGCTTACATACTTCACCTATAATGTACACATGCCTCATTGTATACTTTATACACACTGCACAATTAACTGTCTTTTCAGAGCAAAGAATAAATTTTCTCTAGAATGCATCATCATATGCAAAATGCTTTTTTCTGGGTAAAAACTGATAGAAACCTGAATGATAAAAATGTCAGGAAATGGCTGAAGTGAAACTTGGGAGTTTGCTCACAGTTACAGGTGTGCCTGTGCACATTTGTGAATAATCTGAAACGCAAATGTATATGTATGTATGTATGTATGTATGTGTCTTGAAGACTCACTCAGACTGTATTTATATTAGGCTTTTCCAGGTTCCCCTGTGGACAATTTGCAAACTGGTGAACAATTCCTCTAATTCAAGATACACCCCAATATTTCAAGAGGAAAAAATGTGAAAATTGTACATCTTATATTTGAAGTAATACGGTATTATGGGAAGGTAATGTACTGCCCATCAATTTGAGAACCATTAGGTAAATTTTGAGTGATCTCCAACTGCATGACAGAAACATGAAATTTCATGACAATCTACCCAGTGGTTTTGAAGTTTAAGAATTCAGATGAAGAGACTTTATCCTTCTGGAGTGTGCTATTTTCTTGCATGTAGAGAATACTACAAGTTGAAGAAAGCCGTCTTCTGGGATGTGGCGCCATGTAGAAATTGTGTTAACCAACGTTTTGGAGAACGTATCGCCTCCATCTTCAGGGTAGAAGACAATAAGAAATCTGCAAGCGAGCCAGCAGAGCAGGTGCAACAGACTGAATCCAGTAGAGTAAACACAGCTATATAAGAGAAGGAGAGGAGTGTGGCTACATAAGGAAATAGAAGAGAGGGGGAGGGGAAGGGTCTGCTGAAATAGCCAGCAGGTAGTGGGCCAGAGCTTGTATGGAGTATGTGTTAGGGGGAGAGAAGGGAAGGTTAAGTCTGTTGCACCTGCTCTGCTCGCAGATTTCTTCATGTTTTCTACCCTGAAGATGGAGGCGATACGTTCCTCCGAAACGTCAGTTAACACAATTTCTATATGGCGCCACATCCCAGAAGACGGCTTTCTTCATACTCACCGCCGTGAAAACCTCAGATCTTACAATACTACAAGTTGTTTGCAAGCATAAAAAGAAATACAGAGTATACACATGAAATGGATCAGATGTCTACAGAAATGAGGCATGAAGTTATTTGATTTCCACCACATCCACAGAACATGTGTACTCATCTACAGACACGGTTGCTACCAGAGGTAGCACATTTAAAATTGTGGATGTGAAAAACTTAATGAAAAAGGTCTGGAAAGAGTTACAATAAAATTTTCAGGAAGACTGTACGAGACTAACGGACGATACTGTTGAACTCATCATAACAAAAATACCATGAATGTCTATAAAAAGCAACATTTTGGGAATAATTTTACAAGTAAACTGTATTACAAATTGGTTTTCATACAACATTGCCCCTTATTTTGCTGTCAGTTATTTAATGTTTCATGTGTGTACACACATGTGCATACATACTTGTAAAACTTATACATTTTATGTAACATATCATTATTAATCATCCTTGAGGTAAAGCAAAACTATGGGCTATATTTATGGAACACAGTTGGTAACAAAGCCTGCCATAAGGGAAATATGAGGCAAAAGAGGGGTACAATGAGATGAGTTAGATGTGAAAAGTGGGAAAGCATTCAAGTGTTCTTTATTCTTTATCTCTCATAATCACAATTCAACCGACTTCTCTAAGATTATCTTAATGTTGTCCTCTGATCTGTCTTCACAGTGACAACTTTCCAAGCGATCTGCCTGCCAAAACTTTCCACAGATTTTTGTCTACCCCATATAAGTTCCATGCCTATGTTCTTTGATTTCACTACCTGTTCTTTAGTGCAAAAGAACCTGAACTGTCCACTTGTCTATTTTAGGGTTTGAAGGTCCAGTAGGCAGATACCATTAAATTTATTCACACTTGACTGGAATAGTGAAGCCCTTATTCCATTTTTAGCATTGTTTTATCTTAGCTGAAGTTTTTATACAAATGCAAACGAATTCTTCTTCAAAAGATGCTCAGAGCACAGATGTAGCCCACGTTTCTACCACAGAAAATCTTGTCTTATCAAGAGAATAAATAAGAATTCATTTAACCAATATAACTGTAGCCTATGTCATTTACACCATTGCCTTATTACCACAAGATATAAAGTAGACATCATTTTTATTAACAATCTTTGCTTGGAATTACAGAATATCTTTTTACTCTTGATGAGGTTTTGAAAAAGGATGTACATGTTGCACAGGTGTCTTCTGGGTTGATGGTAAATCTTCACTAAGCTTCTTGGCAAGGAAGTATATCTCAGCTAAAGCAATGATGAGTGCAAACATTACTCCAAGCAACAACCGGAACCCAAAATCCAAATTACCAACTATGAGTTCAATGCCAGTGAATCCAAATGCAAATCCAGCCAGTACGGAAATGATGAATTGTGCCACAGCAATCAGCTGTTTGTTCATCTCTTTAACTGAGGGAAAAGAACAAAAATATACAATCAGATACATTTCAGTTGCATATTATGCGAGGATGTGTTCTTGAGGACCTTGCATAATTCAAGACAAGTTTTCTAATAGGAATAACATATATGTGATTCTTGTTGCATTTTTTTTGGGTTCACATTATTTCAAACTTTGTGCATGAAGTGAGACTTTATTAACATTCTTTATATAACACTATTTCAAACTTGCGCAAAGTGTGACCACACCGTAATCTACAGCATTCTGCATGTTTATGTATAGAATCTCAGAAAAATTAGTATTTCACATACAGTGTTATAACAATATGTAACAGTATGGAAAGAACATTCTGTCACTTCTCTGAAATGTCAAGCTCCTCCCAGTATTATGTAGCACTGCTGCTGTGCCTCATGACTCTGATTGCGGCCATTGACTGTCCTGGTTCCTGCCCTCCTGGCTAAAGTGTAGACAGGAATTTAGTTTTTAAATGGGAGCATCCAGTGAGATGGATCTCCATTTTGTTAATAACAGCCAGCTGAGGGAACCCACACCTGAAAGTGGTCTAAAGACCATGTTGGGGCCATGATAACCTCATATGCTATACAGTTCTGACTTCATTAGAAATGCAGAAAAGAACAAGCTCGAATGGAAGGTCTTGAAGCTGATGTATTTTGCAAAGAATGTCAGTGCCTTACCCCTAGATTATCAGGTCCCCATGACTACAACATACAACATTTCTTACATTGTATGCACTTTAAGAACATTTAATCTTTACTACCAATTTTCAGATGAATTAATGCAAACTTTACAACCAATCTAAAGTACTGATAATATCATTTCGCACAGTTATAGCAGCCACTCAAGGATTACAGGGATTAAAAGCTATGCCAGGGGAGGTGAAAAGTACAAATGCTATGTAGGTTGTACCGAAAGTCATGAGGAACTTCTTTGCATGCAACCGGGGAACAGCAGACGGAACAGAATATGGTGGTAGGTGGAACCACCTGTTGTGTTAACCTCGAGTGTCTTGTGACATCAATAGCTTGCATCACGTGACTAGTATCATTCCTAACAAAATGGCGGACGATACGTCATTTCGCCAGCATGTTGTCATTGAATTTCTTGTGAAAGAGGAAACCCCTGCTGCAGAAATTCACCAGAGACTTCAGCGTGCTTATGGAAGTGTGTGCATGGGTGCGAGCAGTGTTCGAAAATGGGTGAAACATTTTAAAGATGGGAACACCAGCATCGAAGATGAGCCTTGGAGCGGTCGTCCTCGAATAGCCTCAACTGAACGCAACAAGGAAAGAGTGGATGAGATCATTCATGATGACAGGCGTGTGACTGGGGACACAATAGCCCGAAAACTTAGAATAGGGCACAGTGCAGTACAGGAGATGATGAAAGTTTGGGCTATAGGAAAGTTTGTGCTCATTGGGTCCCGCGGTTATTGACCGAAGATGACAAAGGTCAGCGAACAGCCATCACCTCAGAGCTGCTGCAGAGATAACGACACGAAGGCGATGATTTTTTGCTCTGTATTGTGACAGGTGACGAAAGCTGGTTTCACCATTTCGAGCCTGAAACGAAATGGCACCATTTGCATTCTCCATTAAAAAAGAAGGCAAAGACAGTGCCATCAGCTGCAAAGGTGATGGGCACAGTCTTCTGGGATGCAGAGGGGCTTATTCTGGCCGAATTCCTGGAACCTGAGCAAATCCTCAATGCTGCTCGTTATGTCCAGACGCTGCACAAGCTCCGTCATGCATTGCACGATAAATGTCCAGGACGAAACATCATCATCCTGCATGACAACGCTTGCCCCCACACCGCTCGCCTCACATTGGAAGCAATTGCAAAGATGGGGTGGGAAGTTCTTCCACACTCCTCCTATAGCCCTGATCTGGCACCCTCCGACTACCATCTTTTCGGATTTGTGAAGGATCAGCTGCGTGGACAACGTTTTGAGACAACGGAGGCAATTCAGAAAGCAGTGCGTCAGTGTCTTCGGATGGCTGGAACGGAATTTTACAGAAGGGGAATTTTCAAACTCCCAGAACACTGGAAGAAATGTGTACAAAGAAGTGGCAATTATGTGGAAAAATAAGGAAAGGTCTGTAGATTGAGGTGGTGTATTTGGTTTGTCAATAATAAAGCACGTTACTTTACAAAAAATTGTTGCTCATGACTTTCAGTACGACCCTCGTACACATCTAAGGATTACATAACAGCTGCAGTGATTATTTTATCATAATACATGTTGCAAAGAAAATCGGCTGGCACTTCTCATGCATTCTTTGTGCAAAGTTCAAAAAATAAATATATAATGGAGAAATCCTATCTATTTGTACATTTAATTGGTGAATCCGAGGAGTTCCAGAAAGATTTCATTATTAGGGGCCGGAGGGTTCACATTAAAAGTTGTGAAATAATTTAATTTTTAGTTTACATTGGCTCAACATACCTTATATTAAACTGGCATCACACTTTGTAAACTTTCTAAAAAAAAAAGGGGGCTCTCCAAACAAAAAATAAACAAAAAGTGGTACACAACATAAAAAGCTCTTTAAAGCCTACAAATTTCATTTACAAATTTTTTAAATGATGCACATTGAATGAATACAAGGACAACAATTGCTCCCTTTTATGTAGGATGTTATCTGAGGTTTTTGGATCAGTAACTTTATATCAGCAATAAATGAATATAAGCAAGTGAGGTATGCAAAGTTATAATTATAGCCATGTTCAAGTGCATACTGTGTGCACTTCTATGACTCAATAATTAGGACTGCATTCTTCTAACATTCTAAAGATGATACAGTCTCTTCTGTCCTTCCTTAACAGTGAGGCAGTCTGGCTATGACACAATGTACACGTTTTCATATCTAAACCATGGACAATGTCTATGCCGCGCCATAGTTCAAGCGGTTAGTCGCTGGCTTCCCACCATGGCGGCCCGGGTTCAATCCTGGGTCTGGTCAAGTGGGATTTGTGGTGGAAAAAGTTGCGCTGGGGCAGATTTTCTCCGAGTACTTTGGTTTCCCCTGCCAATCTTCATTCACCAAATTCTCCCATCATAATCACCCAGAGCAGGTACAGTGGCCGCCGTGCTGAGTAGACCCAGTTGGACTCCAAACCCCACTAAGTGAATTAATTAATTAATTAATTAATGGACAATGTCTGAAGAAAACACTACCATGAGAGTAAGATACTACCATCATAAAAACTAACAACAGAACTTGTAACTTTGTTGTGAAGAATGCATAAAATTTATTAAGTTATAAAATAATTATGAATGTATCTTAACATTTTTCCTAGCCAGGACTTGACACACCTTGGACATCAATCACCAGCCTAGATCAGTTAGGAACGTCAATATTTAGTTTAATTTCTGAGATAGTGGCACTCACAGGGCAGATTCTAATACCTCCAATGATAGTTAACGTGGCAACGAGGGTCAGCAGAAGGTACCTACATCTTAACCTGGGCTCCAAACCACACTGCCAAAGTCTCTGGCAAAAATGAAGGTTTCACTCTGAGAAAAAAAAATCTGCTGGGATCAAACTCAGAACCTTCTGAAGGACAGCCCCGTGTCTTATGCAAAGGCCATTAAGTCTCCTGAATATTAATATTACAGACTCCAACTGAATAACTTTCCTGAAAGCTGGTATAGTACCATGCCACTGGAGATTTCCGTATCTTGGTACTAACTCAACGAGACGTGAACTTGCAAGATGTCTTTCTTATTATATCTGTTATACTGCTCTCAACATGCACCATAACATAATTATTTGGGGGAGATGGAAATGAAAATGGAAACTTCAAGGGAAGAGACTGGGTGGGAAACCTAGGTAAGGTTTGGATAATATGAAAATTAATCTTCATAACACAGGGAAAGTGGCATACTGTGAGGCTATGGATGAACAGATTCTGCTCTGAAACTAAACAGATGTATGTTGTACTTCTGGACACGAAACCCCAATGATATTAACTAATATTTTAGAACCATTCATTGCATCATGACAATAATGAATGTTAAATATATTTGTTTATATTCCTCTGTGTTTATTTAAAACATCTGAATTCCATATAAAGTAAAATGTAGATTTATGAGTTCTTGCATTTAGTGAATATTTTTCTCATCCTAGCCAAAGCCTAACATAAAGTAACACATTTTCCTGCATTCAGTGAATTTTTAATGCATAATCTGCACTTAACATAAAGAAGTGTCTGACATTTCAGAACCTGTACCTCAATTTACAGTGACTGTGGTCAAAAAAGGGATTGATATTCCATGTTTTTCTTTGCCAGAAGTCATTACTGCACAACCATAATTTATGATCAGTGATGTAACTTACTGTGCACACACAAAGCCAATGGAGTTTCAATGTCTCAATATCCATCCTGTCATTTCACAGCCGTGGATCAGCTGTGATGTTGTATGTTTTCTACCATTTTACTTACTCTGATATGAGATGGTTTCTTCAGGTTCATGAACTCTCGTCGTGTCCACATTCTTAGTCATGGCCTTGTACTCTCTATCAGCTTGTTCTGCCTTCAAGCGTTGGATTCGGGCTTCCAGCTCTTGATTTCTGGGTTGAACTTCTGGTTCAGGTAATTTCACATCACAACCTATCATCAGGTCATGGAATGAGTTTGGCTTACCACTATCATGACTTATCACAAAGTGATCCTGCAACCACTTGATGTCAGCAAGACAGAGGTGTACATCTTCATCAACTTTTTGTGTAACACTTAACTTATATTTCTTGATACCTTCAGGAATGTCTGCATCATTTAATGTAATTCCATGTACTATAAATTCTTTTAGTTTTTCTGATGGTTTAAATTGAAGTAAAGGCTCCATTGTATTATTGGAATCCTGGTTAACTATGGCACAGAGATACTGATCACATATAAAATGCTTTAAATGTTTTGTAATGTTGGTCCCCAGAAATAATTTACTTCTCAATATGAAGTTTCTTCTCTAGGTCAGCATAAAATTCCTTTAATTCTTCCTCCTTTTCTTGAAATGTAGCATCTACTTTGGAGCACTTCTGGGTCATATTATCAATGAAACTTTCCCACTCTGCTTTTCTAAGTTCACGTTTTGTTGTCAGGGCTGTGTCCTAGAAAATAAATAAAATTATATACTAATATGAATTTTTTGCCTAACTTCACAAAAGGAACACACACTACAACTATCTGCATGTCATATCTCAGAAACTACATAATACATTATAAGAACTAATGTAAGGTGTCTACACTGGAAGTCATCAGGTGAAATTAATTTTTCATTGTGTTGCTCCAGCATAATCACTATATGTTACATAAAAATCAAATTGAACTCTTTCTCAAAGAACTGAGCATATAAAAAATGTCTGACATAAAACAGATTTCATTACAATCAACATTAGTTTAAACAATTTTCTAAGCATGGTGAATATTTAATGAAATGAAAAGAAAAAACTGGTAACCTTCACACTGTGATTGGTATCTACAGTGGGATGAGCTTTATAAAACCATGTGTAATGAATATAGTGAACGAGGTATGCAGAATCACAGGCGCTGGAACCAAGTGACCAGACAAGACAAAACATGCTCTTTGGTAACTGAGTCCATACTTAACAAAGAAACATAAAACTTAGTCAAGAAGTTGTTGCGTGACATCAACATAATGGATTTTAGAAATGATGTGAGGAGAGAGGAAAAGAAGCTGTGGTTTCAACCTCCTATGAAGAGGGCAGCAACCAATTAAATTTATTGTTTCACAATTGAACTCAACCAAAATGAATTATATATATATATGAAGTTTTCTTGTATGAAACTAGAAAGCTTTGTCTGTTTTCTGGAACATGCCATAGCTTACACAAGTTATTGACTGGCTTCCCAGTGTCATGTGAAATTTGTGGTGGACAAAGTGGCATTTAGGCTGGTTCACTCCAAGTCATCCTACCACCAATGCCATATAGGTATGATACTGACATCACTGTTAAATAATCAACTAAAAAACCTTGCATCCTGCTACTTATTGCAGGGATAATAAAAAATTACACCAATGGAAGCATTCACATCTATCCATATTAATATCTGAAAAATTATGTGTACTTTTAATTCTTGCCCACTTTTCTTTACTGTATTTGTGATGTAAATGAAATTGGACTAACTACATTCTCTAACTTGGCTTCAGTTACTCCACATGTACACTAAACTTCTGTTTTGTTTTCGGACATCTGTCACATGCTGCTGTCTTTGGTGATTCAGTAAACTTAACTTGAAACTGCAGAGCTCCCACCTTTTTAATTATGAAACAAGTAAAACAAAGATGGTGCTTACCTATAGCAGTATGAAGAAAATTAAGGATACTTAGAAAGTTAATATAATATTCCGTCCAGTGCGGCAATAGAAGTCACATTACTTTTATTATTCTTGCCTTACATGTTTCGGTTTAATTAAAACCATCATCAGAGGCACTTTTCATATGGTAGGAGACACTGTTAATTAAGCTGGTTTGATGTTCACTTTCAGTTGTGTTATTCACATATGTATGTTTCCTATTATTGTCGCAGGTTTTCGTTATGACGGCACTCATCGTATAAAAACATAAACATGTAAAATAATTGAGTATGACAACAGGCTATACGCAGCACAGGAATTATCACTTTTCCCACAGTAGATTCCTTATGTTTGGATTAAATCACTATTAAACCATTTAAAATTTAATTCAAATTGTCGTAAGTCGTTGTTGGTTGTCAATTCTTCCCATGGATGGGAGTCGTCGTTCTTGGTGGTGTGTGGGCTTATATGCACACACATATCATAACGCATTAATTAACAGCGTCTCCTGCCATATGAAAAGTGCCTCTGATGATGGTTTTAATTAAAATGTGACCTCTATTGCCACACTAGACAGAAAATTCTATTAACTTTCTAACTTAATAGTGCAGCGGACCAGAATGAGACAATTCAAAATGAAGGATACTTCTTACCAGGGCCCAGATTTTGATGACATGTCATCTTTCTTTCCTTGTATCCGATGCGATGCTCTTAATATATAAATCTCATATATGAGCTGCTGGTTACAGAAATGTAAACTTTATAGGTATTTTTTTTTGTCATTTTTAGGTTTAAGGTCATTTTTTCATTTTGGAGGTAATTTTTTTGGACTTTTAAGGGTATTTCTTGTCATTTTTGGCCATTTTAGGGAATTTTTCTTCATATGTTTTCTGAAATGTGAATAACATGGAAGCGAAGTGTTCTTTCTTTTCTCCTTTAGGTCATTTTTTTTAATATTTTCAGGTCATCAAAATCTGGGCCCTGAATATTACATTTTTGGGTCATATTTCTGGATTTTTAAAATATTTTCAGGTCATCAAAATCCAGGCCCTCCTTATTACTGATTATGAAAAGTGTCTGTAAATAAATTATATGACATGTAGACCAAATGTGTATTTACCAAAATTGTGAAAATATATAAGAATCACATGCTGTAATGTCCAGATGATGGCACAGAATACTACAAATCAAAAGTTTTAACTACACCAAACACAAACTTCTGCTGGTGACTCTATGTTCCACGGTTTCAGGGACGGGATTCTTAAATGAAATCTCCAGTTTCAGGTTCATTTACTTACATTTTCAATTTATTTTGTCTTACAACAGTTCTGGATTAACAACTTCTAGTTTACCCTGACAGCATCTGAATTTGATATGTCATCAGTATAAAGAGAGTCCCATGCTGACAAAACTTGAAAAGTTACATATCTTGAATACCCCCTCCCCAAAAAAAAAAATATATTCATGATTTGTCACTACAATGCAGGAATAAAAATCATAATATATTCACAAGACTACATGAATAAATCAAAATATGAGATTTAATAAAACCTTCAAAATGTGAGAAAATTCAAATATATAGGAACAAAAAGAACAAAGGAAATATGTTTTATTCCCAAAGAAATAACAGTAGATTAATTTTGAGAAATGCCACCATTCCTGCCTCCTTTCTAAGAATATAAAGATTATTATTACTACACTGTTTTATGTGAATGTAAATCTTGGTCTGAGGGGAAAAACATACAGAGTAAGACCTCACTAATTTAGACTAATTGGGATCAAAGCCTTGTTCAAATTATATAAACTGAAAATATGTTCAGGTAATATTATATTTCAGCATCCTGTTACACTCACACAATATATATGGATAAATACCGTCTTAAGTGCAACAAATTTTATTGTAGTTTTTACTTCTTTTCCTCCTCCACACTACATGTTTCGGCCCTAAATGGCCATCATCAGGTGTGTATCACTCACGTAGCTGTTACACTGCTTGTTAAAATTTAAAATTACCAGTCTTTCTAATTGTATAAAATCTTTGTT